TCATTAGGCCATTTAATTATTGTGTGAACATATCATAGATCAAGTTTGTTCAACCCACGGTGTGTGGGTCACATGCAACAGTACAGCTTTAAATGTGACCTAACACAAATTTGTAAACTTTTCTAAAACATTATGAGTTTTTTGTGATTTTCTTTAGCTTATCAGCTGTTATTAATGTTAGTGTATTTTATGTGTGGCCCAAGACAATTCTTCTTTTTCTAATGTGGCCCATGGAAGTCAAAAGATTGGACACCCCTGTCATAGAGTGTACTTACACAAACCTAGATGGTATACATACCCCACTATATACCTAGGCTATGTGACGTAGTCTATTGCCTTTAGGCTACAAATCTGTACAGCATGTTACTATACTGAACACTGCAGGCAGTTGTAACACAGTGGTAAGTATTTGTGTATTAAACCTATCTAAACATAGGAAAGTACACTAAAAATACAGTATTATAATATTATGGGACTACTTTTGTATATGCAGTCTTTGTTAACCAAAATGTCATTATATGGTGTGTGACTGAATATCATTATATATATTTATAATATGTTTCTTACCACAACATTGTTGGGATTTAGTATAGTAGTATATACTTTATGTTTTTAGTTAATAAACATTACTCTTCCCCCAAATCCTATGAATTTAGTAACGTGGTTCCCATTTTACAGATGAAGAAAAATAAGACATAGAAACGTCAAGTAACTTGTCCAAGATCATATAGCTAGTGATTATTTGAGGCAACATTGATCTTAGATCTGTCTGACTGCAGAGTCTGGGCACTTAAACACATCACTAATCAGCTTTTGAGACTTAGCTTCACTATAAACACTTCTGGAAGAATGTTCTTAGTGCCAGCACCTGCCATGATGAGAGACTTTCCCCCTCTCTGTGTTTCCATTATGTGCCAGTTTGTGTCTGATGATGGGGTTTGCGCTTTTCTCATCTTAATCTCTAGGTTCCAACACAGAGTCATTGGGCTTGACCTGTTAAGTGTCAGTAATTGTTAGTTAAATAAATGAGTGTCAAATGATGATATGGAAGGCATCCAGGAGTTTGAAGAATAAGTTAAATTCCTCCTCTTCCTTTTGGAAGACAGCCTGTGGGAGACTTTTCTTTTGGGGAAGAGGAAAATGAAGGAGGTGGTGTCTCGTTTATTCACAACAGAGAAGGTTTTGCAGATCACCGCGTAGTGAAACTGGCAGAGGGATCAGTTGGCAAGGATCTTAGAGATTCTAAAACACAATTTTCCATTTAACAAACAAGGACAATAAAGCTCAGTGAGTGAAAGTGACTTGCCCATAGTCGCATCGGTCTGGAAAGGGCCAAAGTGAGAAGCTAGCCTTCTGAAGCCCTGTTACAGATTCTTCATATTATCACATATGATGAACAATTTGGGGAAATAAAACAGCCCAGGGGAAATAAGGAGACACTAGCTATATGGGAAAGAGTTTGAAAATGAGAAAGAGAGCATTAAACATTTAGCAAATGAAGAAAAATGCACTAAGGATTGCAGCAGGGAAAGAGATAGGAAAGAATTTATCAACTTAAAAAAATCAGGCAGAAGTCAACCAACCTAGTGCTGGGCTTGGTTTTGGAGCAGGAAAGATATTCTCAGCTGCGTTGGAGTAGAACAGATTACTTGGCTACTCTGAAATAAATTCAGGTAGATGACAAGTCAATGTGAACTGCTCAGGAACACAGCAGATCCCAAGACTTCATTTATTCTTTCCCTTGGAGAAAAGGTAAATGCTTGCAAAGGGCAGACACACTCTGACCCTGCCTGGTACCATGGAAAGAACGCAGGCGCTGGGTCCTACATCCTGGCTTTAATATTCTCTAGGTCTGTGGCATTGAGCAACCTACTTACCCTCTCTAAACTGGAGTATTCTCATTATGAAAAGGGGCTGTTAACTTTTAAATAAGAGGCTTGCGAGGGTTCAGTGAGAGAGACTGTAAAATTCCTGTGATAGACGAGGTACTCAGCAAATGGCAGTTATTGTTATTACAGTCATGCATCATGTAATGACGTGGGTGTGCTCTGACAAATACATCTGGGCAATTTTGATGTTGTGGGAATGTCATCTAGTGTACTTAACACAAACCTAGATGGCGTGGCCTACTACACACCCAGACTATGGCACAGCCTGCTGCTCCCAGGCTACAAACCTGTCCAGCATGTTAGTGTACTGAATGTTGTAGGCAACTGTACCACAATGGTAAATAGTTATGTATCTAAACATATCCAAAAATAGAAAAGGTACAGTAAAAATAAAAATATAGTACTACAGTCTTCTGGGACCACTGCAGTATATGTGGTCTGTCATTGAGGGAAACGTTATGTGGTCCACGATGATAACTTCAAAGGGGATGGTGCCCAGATGCAGAAAGTAAAACCGTTTCCCATATAAGCAAACCAGGAAATGAGACAGAATAAAATTGACCTTATTGAATACATTCTATAATTCCTTTTATCTTTCTACAAAAGGTTCTATTTTGTAGAAGGAAGAGGAGAAGGCATTGTATTGGAAGATGATTTAATGGTGGCTCTGTTTAGGACATTTTCTTTTCTGTGTCTGACACAAGGAAGATACGTTTGAGGTCAGAGTGAGATCAAGAGTTTCCAGAGGGGATTTATATCATTTTGGTTATAAGCTTAAAAATGAAGTGTTAATTAGTCTATGCTAATTTATTTACCCTTTGATTTTTCTAAAACATTGAAAATGGCATATTAGAAGCAGCAGGTATATTCAAAGCTACAGATGAGAAAAGAAGAAAATCCATGAACAGCCACAGCAGAATAATAAAAACACAGCACTCTGGCCCACTTTGTGCATGGTAAAATAGCCAGATATATTTAATTAGTACCCAAGGGCATAGTCTAATCATTGATGCTCATACAGATTTTCTTAAATCACCAATTAAAGTTTCTACCTGTCTACACACTGAAAGGACAAAATATACAAATTTTATGAAAAATGAAAGCAAGGAGGAGCCAGTTTCATGTCTTTGAGAGAATCTTCTTAACCACGTGGAGGTGGTCACGCTGAGACCAGGGTTTCCATTTTCATAGGTGCTATGGCTTCATGAAAATCATCTTCCTCTCTTTGCTTCAGTCTCTTCATACTAGGAAATAATGGGAAAGTAAGGATAAGGGGTTAAAACACCGAGACTTTAGTTTGGAATTCTTTTGGTTGCAAATGATAGAAATCCAACTCAAACAAGTTTAAACTATTGATAATAATAATAGAATAAAGAACATATTAATATGGATACTGGAGCATGTAATAGAACCAAATAACAGAGATCTTACTAAGCTTCAAGAAAACCCGAACCAGTCGTTTGAATACCACCAGTTCTCTCTCTCTTTCATGTCTCTGTCCCCCTGCCTCTGCTACCAGGGTCTCCTCTAACCCTCTGCTGCTCATGCCAAGAAACAAGGTCAGGAGGATTAGAATGAGGCAAGTAAGACACCTTAGGTCTCATATTTAATGAGGCTATCACTCTCAGTGCCTTGCATGTGCCAATACCTAAGTTTGGTACCCTAGATCCCTTGCTTGTCTCAGCTCAACCTAGCCCAGCCCTGCTGGCAAACATGGCTTCCAAGAACAACCAATCAAACAAACAAAAAAAAACCTGTTTTTGTCCCATTTCTCTCTTTGCCTCAAGCTGAAACTTCTTAGGGAAGGTACATCTTGGATAAGTTTGAGTTAGTGTGCACCATGAGTCAACTACTCATAACTAAGGATTGGACATGTTTTACATGATGGGAACCAGAGTACCCATGTGGATGAGTCTGGAGGGGGGGAAAGAGGATAAGATTCTAGGAAAAAATGCCAGGCAGAGGATATACTGATATTACTCCATTTCCTGGATTATAGGTGGCTATTTGTGCAGTAGTGGGCTCAATGGTGGTATCCCAAAAGGTATGTCCACATTCTGCTTTCAGAACTTGTGAATGTGACCTTATTTGGAAAAAAGTACTATGTGGACGTAATTAAGGTAAAAATATTCAGATGAGATCATCCTGGATTATCTAGGTGGGCTCTAAATCCAATGACAATTTATTTTTACATGAGTTACACAGAAGAGAGTCCTAGAGACAGGATAAGACCATGTATGAATGGAGGTAGAGATTGGAGTGATGCCGCTACAAGCCAAGGGCTCCCTGGAGCAACCAGAAGCTAAAGAGACCAGGGATGGAAGCTGTGGGGCCTTGCCAACCCTTTGATTTTGTACTTCTGGCTTGCATCACTGGGAGAGAGTAAATCTCCATTGTTTTAAGCCACCAAGTTTGTGATAACTTGTTATGGCAGCCCTAGGGCACCAATACAGCCACCAAATAAGAAAGCTTTGGTAAGCCACAGGACTTTGGTGGCCATCAGGAGAGGATGCATAGCATCATGGCTAAAACTGTGGGGTCTGGAGCTGGTCTGCTAGGGTTTCAATACTGGCTTTGCCTTTTAATATCTCATCTTGGGCAATTATTTAACCTCTCTGGGCTTCAATTTCCTCATTAATGAAAGAAGAATAATGATAGTTAATTTATGCAGAGTTGAACAAGTGCTTGGCATATACTATATACTTACTGTGAGCCATGATTATTCATGTGTAAATTGGGGGTGATAATAATATCTCCCTTGCCCAACTCATGGTGCTGCTAGGGTAATTCACCGTGGGAGTAAATGTGAGTCCATTCAAGTCAAATGGCCTACTGTGTATGAGGAAATGGATTAGAAAGTACAGGGGACTAATAAAATAAGCTAACCTTGAGAAACTTACAGTACCATTATGGACTGAATTATGTTCCCCCCCCCCAAATTTGTGTGTTGAGTTCTAACCTCTGATGTGACTGTATGTGGAGATACGGTGTTTAAGGGGGAATTGAGGTTAAAATTAGGTCATTAATATGGGGCCTTAGTCTGATAGGACTGGTGTCCTTACAAGAAAAGGAAAAGCTCTCAGGGATTCCTCTCTCTCTGTGTGCACACAGTGCAAAGGCCACATAAGGACAGTGAGAAGGCAGCCATTTGCAAGCCAGGAAGAAAGGTCTCACCAGATACCAACCCTGCCAGCACATTGATCTTGGACTTCCAGCCTCCAAAACTGTGAGAAGTAAGTTTCTATTGTCTAAGCCACTCTGCTACAGTATTTTGTTATACCAGCCCAAGCAGCATAACACAAATCTGTTAGTGGAAATTATAAAGCAATGCATATCATAATTATTATATTTTACTATTATTAATACCTATAGCTAATTCTTCCAACCAATAAGCTGCCTGTGGAATGTTGAGGGTGTTCTGGTAGTACAAATTTTCTTTGTTTCACACTCTGACTCTAAGAAGTTTGCTGAAACACACAGTGGAATTCAGGAAATTCAACAGCTTTAAATGAAAACGCTCCCTTGAGGCATGTCAGCAGGAAAGAGATAAGGATTAAAAAAAAAAAAAACCAACACTTTCTATTCAGGGAGATACTTTGCCTTTGTGAAATGTATTTATTCCAACTACTCCCTATTCTGTATTTTACCTTCATTTTGGATACCTATTGACATTAAATAATAGGTTTCTTTCAATATGGATGAAAATGATTCTGAGATGAAATATTATTCCTTCCTTGGAAAAGAAAATTATTTTTCCTTTCACATAGAAGACAAATGCTATTCTTCAAATGTCCCTGCCAGTTAAACCCCTGCTCATCCTTCAAGATCCATTTAAATGTCACCTCCTCCATGGAGCCTCCTCTGACCCTACCTCTTTCAAATTAGCATTAATTAAACCGCCCTCTCTCTGTGTCTGGCATGTGTCATGATCTGATTTGGGATGGACACATTTGCTAGATTATGAGACCTCCAAAGTCAAGAGCAGTACCTTTAGTCCATTCCCACTTCTCCCATAGCCAATGGGGTGCCCACACTTAGAAGAACTTCAATCAATGAATCAATGAGCTGGAAGGAGTCTCGCCTATAAATACACACACACACACACACACACACAGAATATTTCTGTTTGGAAGTCCTACCTTTTGGTGTTATCTAAGTTTACTATATGACAAAAGAGTAAAGCAGTTAAGAGGGTAGCATTTGAAAGTAAATATTGACAGCACTGCTCCAGCCTCATGGGCCTGGTATCCAGTTTTCCTCCCTGTCCCTCTTCCTGAGCATGATGATTTTCTTTTCTTTCCTGGTTTTGACTAACAGTACCTTTTAGAGCGCTACTGTCTGGTGTTTCTGACTTTAGTTTATCAGGACTTTTGACCTCAGTCACGTGCATTGCGTGCTAGAGAAGTGTTTTTCAAAGTGTGGTTCTTGGACCAGCAGCATCAGTATCACCTAGGAACATGTTTGAAATGCAAATTGTACAGCCCCACTCCAGAACTACTGAATTCGAAACTCAGCAGGGTGGGGGAGAGCCATGTCATACTCAGCAATTTGTGTATTTTAAAAATTTATTTATTTTTGTCAATATATAATAGTCATACATATTTTTTGGGTACATGTGATATTTTGATACCTGTATACAGTGTGTAGTGATCAAATAAGGGTAACTGGGACATCCATCACTCCAAACATGTAACTTCTTTGTGTTGGAAACATTACAAATTTTTTCTTCCAGCTCTTTTGAAACGTGCAATAAATTATTAACTAAGTCATTCCTACTGTACTGGGAACTTATTTCTTCTATTTAATCTGCATTATACAGCCTTCTGAGTGATTCTTAGGATGTTAAAATTTGAGAATCACTACTGTAGAAAGTTCACCTAATCTCTGCATCCTCAGCTCTCAGCTGATGTGGCTATAATTTTTATTCTGTAAGGTGATTTTTTAGGACTTAGTAAGATCTGAAGCCCAGTAAGTTCAAACAGAAGGTGCTAAATAAACAGAGTGAACTTGGAACCTAATACTCCTGTGTTAAAGCTGTGGGTCTGAGTAACCACACTTTTCCTTCACAGGGCCTTCTACTCACATGGGCTTCCATGCACCTGCTTCAGGAGACAGCAACACTTGTGCCCGCACTGCGGCAAGCTCCCATCACCTGGTGTATATGCCGCGCTGAGTCTCATCACACCTTAGTGAAGGAACACATGGACCCATATGTTAGCGGATGTGTTTACATTGTTTTATACAGAAAGGGGAAGTATGTTTCACAATAAATGTTTGCATACTTTGGAGCACATTTTTTTTTTTTCTTTCAGACAGAAAGAGACAAAAAGGGAGGGAGAAACTTTGGCTGGAGCCATTGATTCTTTATTCCATTGCAATGTTTTTATCACCCAACCTTGAAAAGAGCTTGTGTGTCAGGCTCTTTTTTGTCCTGTGACTCAGGACAAAACCTGAGCAGGATCTGTGCTGAGGCTTGGGTCCCTGGGGGCAAAAAAAGGTTAGTGACTTCTAGTTGAAAGAGTCAGGAAGGAAAGGGTCAATAGTTTATCAGTAAGTATTCTGAACCAAGGCAGGGAAACCAAAATTTAGAGATACCTGAAGCGCTCAAGCTAAGGGCCAGGAGCTAGCAGCTGGAAGGATACAGGAGCTATGTCATAAATAATTTAGGAGGTGGCTGGATGATTGCCGGAGTGTCCACAGCAAGCTTTACTTGGCTTTTATGGATACAATGGGCATAGATTGCTTTTAGGAACAATAAAGAAATGTTTGTTTATTAAACTAATTATGATTCAATAACATTGACAATAATGACAGTGATGATAGTATGCAATATAACAAACTGGTGTGCTTTTATTTCTCCATTTTCCTGTGCACATCTGTTTTATTCTGTGACATTCTTCCATTCAGACTGAGAAATAAGAAACCAGTATTGCTGCAAAGAAAGGTAGGCTATCACTGGAGGAAATGAAGAGTAAAAATTAAAAAATCAAATTATAATTTTTGTAGTTTTAAAAAAACAGCTCAGGTGTAACAAAGAAATATTTGGAAGAGGTTAGAGGATGAGACAAGGAAAAATTTGCTACAAACCTCCTTCCACATAATCACCTCTAATAAACAGATATCCTAGATAAATATAATTTTCTAAGCTAGGGAAAAAAAAAACAATTGGAGAATATAATGTACAAAAGTTAATCACCAAATAAGGCCTGCCCTGTTCGTCTTTCACCTCCAGCCGTGATAAGGAACAGGAACCATAGAATTCTCTGGTAAATATGGAATCTAGGAGTAGAAGAAACCCATGCTTATATCTTGCCCATAACTCAGAGAGAAAGCAGATTCACAGATGGTGCCCACACCCCAAAGTCATGGGGATTGTAGAGTGCAGAATTATTCCCAGAGTTCTTTCCTGGTTCTTTAAATGTATTTTCAGGAATCAATCCTGTACTATTAGAGTCCTTTTTAAAAAAAAAAAAGAAGTGAAATTCAAGTAATAAGTCCAAGACTGACCAGCAAATACATGGGAGAGGCAACAACAAATATTCAAGGAAAGGAAAAGAAGGAGACAGGGCAAAGAAGTCCCCAGTAGTCTTCAGAGTTCTGCCTCCAGGCCAACTATATGACTGTGGACAAAACCTACTTAATCCTTCCTAATCTATAAGAAATATGAATATTCACTTTGCTACTTTACAAGGTTCTTGAGATAATAAGCCAAATGGAGTATAACATATAGTATTTATCCTGCTCGAAGTCCTCTGAGGTTCTTAGATCTGTAGTTTGATGTGTTTTGTTATATTTTGCAAAATTCTTGGATGTTATTCTTTCAAACCTTTTTCTTTCTGCCTCTCTCCTCCTTTTTGGGCTCCAATTACACGTATGCTAGACCATTTAATATGGTCACACAGCTTTTGGGTACTCTGTTCTATTTTTCTGTTCATTTGCATTATTTATTTATTTTCACTTAAAAATATTTTTCTTTCCATTTAGGTAATTTCTAAATTTCTAATTGTCTTATATCGCATGGACATTAGGAACATGTCATTGGAAACTGGAAAGTGATTCTTGTTAGAAAGTCACATAAGACTTGCTGAATTTCGTTTTGTTCGGGTTGAAACGCTGTGGACATGAATATAAAAAAGTATTTAAAAGTGTTATAGTTACTTTTTGTTCCTAAAAAACCTGTGAATCTCTTAGTCATGGGTCCAGTCTTGTATCTCTTTCACTGTGAGGTGGGTCCTTTGTCAGATGCTATGCTGTCTGATACTCCATGCTTGTGAATCAGACATCCCCTGTGTCCTCAGATTGTGGTACTGGCTAAAACTCTGTAAGCAGGAAAACAAACCCATAGAATAGCTTGCCATCTAGGATGGAAGAGACTCAACATGGCCAGCTTGCTATGAAATGGCTGGATGCGTTGGACATTCAGACTCAACAGAAGTTTAACCAGACTTGGTAAGAGAACATCCATGCTGTTTGGCCTGCATGTGGATGTCTACATTTATGCCTCTGTGGCTTCTCCATTTATATGTTGATCACACTAGTTTTGGGGTGTCTAATGATGAAGCTGGCTTATGTCATCTTGCTGAGTCATGTGTTTACGTTGTTCTTCAGTGTCTCTCCCATGGTAGGTGCTTTCTCGTGTACATTCATGTGTAAAAAAAAAATTTTTGTTACTTCGTGTTCTCTCACTTCCTCTATGACTCTCTGTCCATCCACATGCCACTCTTCCAGATCGCCATGTCTCTAATCCTGCAGGCTTTTACATCCAAGTGTCTACAATCTGGCCAGGTGAATAACTAATAACTGCTGCCCAAGAAACTCCGAATATTGTCACTCCAGGCTACTTTTCCTTCCACATATTGTGGATGAAGAGGTTCACTGCCCATAGCTTAATGATGATCTTCTCTTTATGGTGTCTTTTGAATCCACTCCTGGATTTGACTGTTATGTAACTACACATTTCCCCAATAAATTTTTTGTGCATTGAATCCCATTTTGTTGTCTGCTTCTCTGAGGCTCTAAAAGGAAAACTAGGTGATACCTAGAGTGGTCTGAGAAGACGGAGATTTGGGGACTGGCTCACTCATTAACTGGCTGGCAATGAGGATGGCATCCTGAGTGGAATGTGGGGGACAGATAGTTCCTGGCACAAGACATCCATCTTCAATAAAGAATTAAATGCCATAAGTGTTGATGATTTCATCATTATGGACCTATGAACAAACCCTAGTCGAAGGGAATGCCCAGGTCACAGTAGGTCTGGTTTCTTGTGTTTAAATATTGTCACCACAAGTCACAGGGACTCCATCATGCCCAAGGTTACTAAGGAGCCTAGCTTTGAGACTTATCTTCTACTGGTCAGCCCTGGCCTATGGAGGAGTGATGTTGGTACCCCTCTACCAACTAATGAATTATTGATGGCCTTGGAAAATGCTAGCAGATTCAGCTGTAGTGCAAGCAGCCCTGCTGCTTTTGCATACCCTATGTTATTGTAAGTATCAGTGGTGGAAAAAGATGTTGTATGGAATTATGGTAAGCCCCGTTGACAGAATCACAGCACAGGCCCCTGTGGTTCTGGAGCAAAGCTATACCATCTGCAATGGAGAATATGTCTTTTGAAAAAAGGGTTCCGTGTGTGTTACTGGGCCCTAGCAGAGACATAAGGCTTGTCTATGAGGCACCAAAAGAACATGCCTCTGAAACTACCCATTATGGGCTTAATTATGTCAGAGCCACCAATTTTTAAAGTCAGATTAGGCCAGAGGTAGTCTACCGTAAAGTTAAAATTATGCATGTGGATTTGATCTAAAGTGTGTGCATGATAAAGGGAAAGTGAACAGGGGCCTTCAAATCACTATACAGATTTGAAAGCTGTCAGAGGAGAAAGGAAAGGATGGAGGATAAGTGGGAAGAGCCTCACACCACAGTACAGTTCTGAGAAAATGTTGGCTAGGCTGATGGGAAGTCCCTAAACAGAGATTGCCTGTTAGAGGCATGTCTCATGTCAAGTGGTAATGACCTGGCTCTGGTATCCATGCTGCACTCAGTCATTGGCTGGGAATAACTTGGCAAAAGATTGGCCTCACTCTGAACACTTTGCGGGATCCAGAGTGCTTTGTCTGGATTTTACCAGTCAGTCATGCTTCTCAGAGAAAGTCTTTTTCAACAGGAATCTGAGTGGCACACCTCTATGCCACCACATTTACTAAGTTGTAGAGCCAGATTTTCTCCTTTTTCTCTTTATCAAAGTTATCCTGCACCCTCCCTCTGTAGTGTCCTAACATATTCTGTTCTCCTGCCTGGGAAACTCTTTCCCTGGTGCCTTTTACCCAACTGAATCTTCAGATTGTAGCTTAAATACCACTTCTCCAGGGAAACTTTCTTTGAACCTCCAAAAGGATTAAATTCTTTACTGCATGATTTCTTAACTCTCTATATTTTTATCCATGATGCTTATCAAAGCTAATTACACATTAGTAAAATGATGGTATTTATAACCTTACTAGACTGTGAGCTCTGTGAGAGCATAGTCTTCTCTGTCCTGTATCCCCAACACTTGTCACAATGCTTGTCATGTAGAATGATAGAATGCATTCAATGAGTGTTTGTTGAATGAATAAATGAATGACTCACTTTATTAATTTCAACAAGTTTTTAAAATAACTAAGAAACTCTTAGAGCATTAGGCTTATAAATATGGACATGAAATATCATCATCCTATATATAAATGAAAGTACAGAACATTCAAGGAATTGATGCCAGGAAATTATAGTTTATTAAATATGATTTTTTGGCTCTTTTTCCTGAACACAACATTTAACAATCAGAAAAATGTTGATCTTTGGAGAATTTTGCATATTTGGCTTCCTGGTCTTCAAGAAATTATAAATGGACATTTAATTAAATCAAATCCTAATAGTAAAAATAATGATAGTATTATAATTTAATTACTCTTTACTATGTGCTATATATATAGTAAGTCTTCTATATGTGTTATTTGACTACTTATTCCCAACATGATATGCTAGGTGAGGATATTAGCACTTAAATGGGGTTATATATTTGTTCAAGGTCTCAGACATTGCATCTTATGGATTTAGGTTTAGATCCATCACATCCATCTAACACCAGTGACCATGGCTTTGTTCACAATCTGCTTATATTTTGAATTTCTTGCCGAGATACTACATCTTTTTATTTCTCTCTGGGAGGCTATCTAAAGAATAAGAACTTTGGAATCTTATCTAATATCACCTTGACTTAGGTTCACCTTACCTGGTCAAATCTTCCTGATGAGCACCAGGCGGCACCAACCACTACCCTTTCTCTCCCAACACCCTTTCTCTCACCAATTTCTAAATAATATTGAATTTCTCCATCTGGATATCATATTTACTTCTCAATCATAATACATTCAGGTTTGAAATTTCAGAGCTACTCACTCTTTCCTCACAAAAATACATATTGTGAGTTCCTTTGAGATGGGGATCTTGTTCTATTATCTCTGTTATTTTACTATACTGCACAACATCTGGCATGGAATAGTTGCTCAAGAAGTAATTGTAGAATGTTTCCTTATCTCTGGTCTCAGGCATCCGTTGGAGATAAAACAGTGTTAAACGCAACAGAGTTTTCCAGTGAGGACTAAATTCTGTAAACTACAGCACTTCTTAACTAGAACAATAGTTGTGTCGGTAAATTCTTTGAAAATATTATAAAAAGTTTGTTTGTGTGGGTGTATACGTCCTTTTTGTAGGAAACGGCACATGCTTCAGGAGTTGAAGAAGCAGCTAAGAATTTTTCATCATGAAGATCATCAATGAATAGCTCTTCACAAGTAGTTTCAGTGAGTGGGAGAGGCAGAATAAGATTCCAGAATGTAAAATGAATGAGAAATAAGAAAGTAGGGACACAAAAAAGCTAGACTTTAAAGAGAAGAAAAACAATACAGGTGGATACAAGATTAAAAGGAGATTTTATTTCCAGACTGGAGAAATTTGGACTGGAGAGGGAATATAAAAGCTATAATCATTGAACATGTACTATATTTTGATTGCTGAATCATCTACTTTACACAAAGTAGGTATTATTGATTTCTGACTGAGTCAGAACTGGAAGATAATAGAATTAGGGGAGAGGGATATGAAAACAACAAAAGGGTTGGCCTTATCTAGCATGAGAGGCACCTAATACTCTTTGACTTGAAAGGAGGAAAATATGGGTCCAGAAGTACATGAGGGGATGAAGAGGCTACAGTTGGTTCATGTTGTAACCTCCATTTTTCTTTATCAAGTAAAAGGCAAAGCCCTCTGACAAAAATGAGATGGTGCAGTTGGGCATTGACACTTATGAAAGTGGGGAAGATTTTGAAAAATTACTGAGAGGGTTTTCTTACTCATTTAATAAATATTTGTAAAACACCTATCATGTAGGTACTAAGAATATATAGCCTGCATTATCTAGGAACTTGCCACATTTAATAAATTATAAGTTCCCAAAGGGTATGGAACATGTTATAACTATTTGCATATACCCCCAATAGTTCATAGCCTTGTGTTTCCAGCACAGTAGGTAAATATTAGAGTTTAAATTCAACTGAATTAAATCCACAAGAACTCTCAATTTTGAGTAAAGCCTGAGGCTCTTGGGGCCACAGATTATTTTTGTGGAAGTCCTCTAAAATCAAACAACAGAGGTCTGCCAGTTGGGAATACATCATGCAATTGTTAGTAACTGAAAAATGCATTCAGAACAGTGATTCTGAACCTCAGCAAGACTGACGTTTTGGACAAGGCAATTCTTTGTTTGGGGAGCTGTTGTGTGCGTCGTAGGATTTTTAGCAATATCTTTGGCTTCTGCTGACTATCTCCCAGTAGCACTTCTCCCCTCAAAAAACCCCTACCCAGTTGTGACAAAAATATCTCCAGACATTAACGAATGTCCCCTGTCGGGGGGGGGGGGGGAGCAAAATAGCTTCAGATTGAGCAGCTTTGATCTAGAGTTTTGATGATTAATTTATGTAAAAATAATTTTGTGTAACAAACATCTAAATTCAGAAAATGTGATTATTAGGTAGTGATTAGCAAAGCTGGGATGCTCTTTCCTTATCAACTGACTGGCGTTTGAACAATTCCTACTTCTCCAGCTGGGGGAAGTCAGAGGACCTTCAAGTCATGATCATTTTCTTCTCCTAGCAGCTCTGAATGGGAGGTTACCCGTATTTCTATGATCTTAGTCTTCCTTCCTTTAGGGTCAGATGCAGTGGGTTGTCCTCCCTGTGTCTGATACTTTTAGTGATTGCACATGTGTTCGTATAACATTGCACAATGTAGTGCAGTGAAATAAATGTTGGACTTAGAACCAAAAGTCTGGGGTATCAAACCAGCTTAGTTATATATCCTTGGGCAAATCAATTATTTTGTTCTCTCATTGTTATGGGGATGTCTTGATACTGATAAATGAAGGATAGAACTTTATGTAAGTACAGAGGAATATTAATTTCTTCCCCCTATACTTATGTTAAAGATGATCCCTGTTTTGGAGGTAATGGATCAGGGGGAAAACTTGAAGAGAGAACTATAAGTATTTGACAATGTTCTTATATGTTGGGAAGACAGGAAGTCAAAATGTTGCCAAACTTTTAACTGTTAATGAATGCAGTAGTGATGGAGTAATGATGTCATATATTGAAATCATAGGAAACCTTTTTTTTAAAAAAAATTGAGATATAATTTATATGCCAAAAACTCATTGTAAAATTCAGTGGTTGTTAGTTTAGTGGCAAAGCTGTGAATCTATTTAGACTATTTTCATTATCCTCAAAATAAATCTCATACTTATTAGAAGTCATTTCCCATACCCTCCTTCCTTTATCCCCTGGCAACAAATCATCTATTTCTGTCTCTATGGATTAGTATATTCTGGAAATTTAGTATACATGGAATAATATAACTTGTGTCTGGCTTCTTTTACTTAGCATGATTTTTTCAAGGTTCATCCATATTATACCATGTATCAGTATGTCATTCCTTTTCATGGCTGAATATTATCTTAGTGTATGAATATACCACATTTTGTTTATCTACTCATTAGTTGGTGAACATTTGGTTTGTTTCCACCTTTTGGCTATTCTGAGTAACAATGTTATGAATTTGTGTGGACATATGCTTTCATTTATTCTAGGTGTATATCTAGAAGTGTAATTGCTGGGTCATATGGTTACTATATGTTTAATATTTTGGGGAACTGCCAAACTATTTTCCAAAGTGGCACAAAGGAGAAGATAGGAAAAAATGTAGTTGAAAGGTAAATTGATTTTATTAATGTTGAATTTGGAGTGTTTACAAGACATAAATTTTCAGAAGATTGGTAGCTATGTGGGTCTTAGGCTTAGGGGAATAGTATGAGTTTGAGAAATAGGTTTTGGCATCATCAACATGTACAATTAAAGATCTGAGAAACCAAGAGCTCACCTAAAGAAAGTAGACACCACCACAAGGAAGACCTACATATCTAAGGTCAATTCAGACAGCATACATACACTGTGTGATGGATGGCAGGAAAGGTGGAGATTAATTAAGACTTGGCAGGTAATTGATCAGAATTTTTTTCTCATAGCAAGAAGATTTGCTTCGTAGGAGGATTTCACTGGGCAGAGATGGACATACAGAGAGCAGAGAAGGGCATTCCCACATAGAATCTTAAATCTTGGAGGCTGGGGAAGAGCTTACAAAGCAGAAAAATGTGGGAAAGGCTTCCAAACTTGGGAAATGGCATATATAAAAGCATAGTTGTTCAAAATGTCTGATAACTTCTGGATAATTGAACAATTAGCATCAATTTGTTTGTCAGTCTGTGCCAGTATTTTATTAGGTGCTGCACACAAATTATCTCATTTAAACCTTACAATAGTCTTCATTCTAGAGATGAGGAAACAGACACAAAGACATTAACTAGCTGTCCAAGATTACACAGCTAGAAAATGGTAAAGCCTTGAAATAAACCAAGGGAGTTTTAGTCCAGAGCCGGCACCTGACATGTGAAGCAACTCATCGAAATACTTTTAAGTATTAAGGACCATTAGTCAGCACCAGTGGTGTGCTCCTGGTAGCTGATCAGGTGCTCCCAGTCTTGGTACCACTTGGCAATGTAGTGGCTTACTTGATATGTATGTTCTTCATTGTTCTTTTTCTTTTCTTTTCTTTTTTCTGAGATGGAGTCTTACTCTGTCACACACGCTAGAGTCCAGTGGCATGATCTCGGCTCACTGTAACCTCTGCCTCCCAGGTTCAAACGATTCGCCTGCCTCGACCTCCCTAATAACTGGGACTACAGGTCTGCACCACCACACCAGGCTAATTTTTTTATTTTTATTTTTATTTTTTTAGTAGAGTTGGGGTTTCGCCATGTTGGCTAGGCTGGTCTCGAACTCCTGACCTCAAATGATCTGCCTGCCTCGGCCTTCCAAAGTGCTGGGATTACAGGAGTGAGCCACCATGCCCAGCCTGTTCTTAAGTCTCCTAGAGCAGGGATTCTGAAACACAAAATTCATCTGGTAAGTGCTTAAAAATACTGATACTTGGACTTTTATATAGATTTACTCATGTGCAATTTTCAATGTGAGGCCCAAGATTTGTGACTCTGAGTACCACTGAGTGATTATGACACACACAGCCTTGCTGCTGGACTTGGACTAGGTGTGTCATAAAGCAGTTACCGTCTTGAGTCTTCAGATGTTCAAAAACTGCAACATAGTTTCCAAATTTAATTCCAAGTTCAGTTTAGAAAAAATCCTAAAGAAAAGATGGCTATTCTACACATTCTGGACCTCATTTATCCTAGCTTTATTCTCCCCATATTTATTGGACACTATTCAGGCAGCTTTTATTTGCTAGGTGCTCTCATTAAAATGGACTTATTTACTTCTCACAACATCCCTATGAGATGTATCGTGTTGTATTAGTCCATTCTCGGATTTCTCTAAAAAATACTTGAGACTGGATAATTCATAAACAAAAGAAGTTTAATGGACTCACAGTTCTATAGGGGTACAGGATGATTCTGACATCTGCTCAGCTTCTGGGGGGGCCTCAGGAAACTAACAATCATGGCAAAAAGTGGAGTGGGAGCAGGCATGTCTTACATGGCAGGAGCAGGAGCAAGAGAGAGTGAGGGGTGAGGTGCTACACTCTTTTAAACAACCAGATTTCATGATAATCCACTCACTGTCATGAGACCATCGCCAAGGGGATGGTGCCAGACCGTTCATGAGAAACACCTCCACGATCCAGTCATCTCGAACCAGGCCCCTGCCTCCACCACTGGGAATTACAATTTGACATGAGATTTGGGCAGAGACACAAGTCCAAACCATACCACATGTTATGTCAGTTTGATGTAAAAAGAAGCAGAAATGTATTTGCCCCAGTTTATAGAACTAGTTAAGAACTAAGATGTAAGGCTAGGAATTCAAAATTCAACTCCAGGGTTCTATCTGCTACCTCAGTGCTCTCTCCTTTGAGAAGTGTTTAATACTGAGATTAATCCATTTGCTAGCTGTCTATTAATATACTCTTCATTTCAACAATGTGCAAAGACATGTTCAAGGCTACATATAATGAACTTCCAAGCTATACTGGTCACATTTTATGATGTGACTCATATGTTTCAGAAAGAAATTTAAAGTGTTTGAATTATTCTTTCTGTAATACGCAAATCATAGACATCATGTGGTCAAAGGCCACAGTCAGTTGAAGGATCGCCGACCTTGCTACTATTGGAAAATAAACCCCAACAGTTGGAGATGGAAACCATCTGTCTTCAGCTATTTCACATTTTGTCAAAGTCATCAGCTTAGTTGGAAAATAGCTGTGACCAACTAAAGTTATTAAAATGTAAAGTATGATTAAATGGAACACTCAAACTGTTTATTCAGAGATAAACTGTCACACGTCCTTTGAAATTTTAGAAGAACACTAAGAGTTAGGAAAGATATTCACACTGCAAAGATCATAGAGAATATTTGACAGGTTATTGGAAAAAATGAATTTATGCACACGTATTTTATAGGTACAGAATCTTAGTTTCTTACATTAGGATTGTAGTTGAATTTAGAGATCGTGTAACCCAACTCTTCAGTTTTATAGGTGAGAAGAATGAGACCAAGAGAGGTTAAATGGGTTGTCCAAGTTCATAAAGTACTGACAGAAGATGCCCCTGAGCGGTTCTCACTATATGAAAAGTCAGACAAGTATTATTATTATTATTACTAATGTAAGTAGCTCCAATTCATTTGATTCTCATGATTTGGAGGACCTTACATATATTAGCTTATTGAATCTACACAGCAAATCTAGATGGTAAATATTTTCATTGCCATTTTACAGAGGAGGAACTGAGGCTCCTGAGAGTCAGGAAACTGGTAACATGGACTCTATACAGATATACTGAATGATGTAAATAAATAAACAAATACGTAAATGTGGAAGAAGTAAAAGCTCTTCCTTGGAGAAAAAGGCCATCTAATAAATGAGGCAGGAATGATAAAATTAGAAAAATCACCGTTTGGCAAACATCACAGTATTAACTGCTTAAGGGAAGAATTATAAATAGGTAATAAAACTAGTGGGTGAAACAGTAATGAGACTAAGATACTTATCCAGCCCCAAAAGTTTTGCTCCATAAAAATACTTATTTAGGCTAGGCATGGTGGTGCACACCTGTAATCCTAGCACTTTAGGAGGCCGAAGTGGAAAGATTACTTGAGCTTAGGAGTTCAATGGCAGCCTGGACAACATAGTGAGACCCCCATCTCTAAAAAAAAAAAAAAAAAAAAAAAGCCAGGTGTGGTACTGCATGTGTGTATTCTCAGCTACTCAGGAGGCTGAGGTAGAAGGGATCGCTTGAGCCCCAAGTCGAGGCTGTAGTGAGCTGAGATTGCACCATTGCACTCCAGCCTGTGTTACAGAGAGTGATCCTGTCTCAAAATAAAATGAAATGAAAAAATGAAAAAAAAAAATACAAATGAAAAAATAACATGCTTACAGTGGAGAGGCCTAGAGGCAGGCCTAGAGGCATCATCTTAACCAATAATCAAAGTTAATATCTATATGAATAGGACGAATAATATCATTTTCCTCCTGACCTCCTGCATGTTTAAAACACAATGTAACTTGTTGGTTATTTCTGTCAAAAGTGCATAACCTGAAACTAATAATAAGAAAACACCAGAAGACCCCACAATGAGAGGCATACTAAAATATACCCTAGTTGTTATTTTATTTTATTTATTTTTTGAGGCGGAGTCTTGCTCTGTTGCCCAGGCTGGATTGCAGTGGTGCAATCTTGACTCACTGCAACCTCTGCCTCCTGGGTTCAAGAGATTCTCCGCCTCAGCCTCCCAAGTAGCTGGGATTACAGGCTACTTTTTGTATTTTTGTATTTTTAGTAGAGAGGGGGCTTCACCATGTTGACTAGACTGGTCTCAAACTCGTGACCTCAGGTGGCCCACCCACCTCGACCTCCCAAAGTTCTGGGATTACAGTTCACTGCATCCAGCCAGACTTTTTTTTTTTCCTTTTCTTGAGACGGCATCTCCCTCTGTTGCCCAGGCTGGAGTGCAATGGCACAGTCTTGGCTCACTGCAACCTTTGCCTCCCAGGTTCAAGTGATTCTCCTGTCAGCCTCCCGAGTAGCTGGGACTACAGGTGCGCTGCCACCATGCCCAGCTAATTTTGTATTTTTAGCAAAGACAGGGATTCACCATGTTGGCCAGGCTGGTCTCGAACTCCTGACCTCAGGTGATCTGCCCACCTCAGCCTCCCACAGTGCTGGGATTATAGATGTGAGTCACTGTGCCTGGCCTATTTTGAAAGCAACATATAATCGAACTTTTTCTTTTGTGATAAAGAGCAATATAGGAACAAGGAGTGAAACACCAAGGCAATCTGACAGTTAAATGATACAAGTAGATCCATGTTAATTTCCTGATTTTTGTAATTATACTGTGCTTATATAACAGAATGTTCTTGTTTTAGAAAATACACATTGAATAATCAATGGTCATCTTGTCTGTAACTTAATTTCAAATGTTTCAATAAAAATATGTGTATATGTGTGAGTGATAAAACAAATGTAGTAATGTGTTAACATTGAAAAACGCTGTGAGAAGATCTCCTGGAATTCTTCGTATTATTCTTTTTAAGTTTTCTTTAAATCTAAAATTATGTCAGAAAGAAAGCTAAGGGCCATGTACAGTAGCTGATGCCTGTAATTCCAGCAGTTTGGGAGGCTGAAGCAGGAGGATTGTTTGAGGTCAGGAGTTTGAGATCAGCCTGGGTAACATAGTGAGACTTCATCTCCATGAATATTTTAAAAATCAGTTGAGTGCAGTGGCATGCACCTGTAGCCAGAAGTTCAAGGCTGCGGTCAGCTATGATTGTGCCACTACACTCCAGTCCAGGTCACAGAGCAAGACCCTATCTCAAATAAATAAATGAATACATAAATAAATAAATAAAGTTAAAGAAAATAAAAAGACATCTACTACAACCTCAGCTCTGGGACATTGAACAAATCCAGTCTTCTGAGCTCAGAGGCCATGTTGTCTATCCTCATGCATCAGGGGATGTGTGAATGCCTGTGTTTCCTCATCCTGACAGAGTTGCTCTTGCCTTATACCTGAGTCTTCTACTTATTACCATGAGGCAGGGGGTTCTATTTACTTAGATTTATATCTGTCATGTAATTTCAGTAACACTGATGAGCTTTGGTAGACAGTGCAGTACAAATGTGAAGTCTTAAATCTCTTAATTATCCTTTGTGAACTCACTTCTCACATCCAAAAGGGGATATAACAATACCTACCTCAAGGATTGTTATGAGAAATAAATGTAATCGTGAGGGAAAATATATATTTTGAAAGACATGGTGGTCTTTTAAAACAATGTTAATTGTTGCTCGAGACTGAATGTGTTTCATCTGCTATTCCTCATCTCCCCACCAAATTCATATGGTAAAACCTTAGTCCTCGATGCGATGGTATTTGCAGGTGGGGCCTTTGGGAAGTAATTAGGGTTAGATTAGGTCATTGGGATGAGGCCTTCATAATGAGATGAATGCCCTTATAAAAAGAAGAAGAAACATGGGATCCCTCCCTCAGCAGTGTGAGGATACAGCAAGAAGGTAGCTGTCTACAAACAAGAAAGTGAGCCCTCGTCAGATACTGGAAATGTGGAAGTAAATGTAATTGTTTCAACTACCCAGTTTCCCAGTCTATGGCATTTTTGTTGTAGCAATCCACACTGACTATGACAATTGTGTTTTTCTCTTTCCTATTGTATCTACCATGACATGTAGGTTAGGCGCTGAGAACATCTAAAGAATTTGAATGATGACCAAAGCTTTTTCGAAGATTGGATTAAACTACAATTGCCCTCTCCAGAGAATGGTCATCTATCCATTATGTACTCTGTTGCAAGTATTTCAGGAGGGAGGTGAGAATACATGAGGTTCACATAGCAGCAAAAGAACTACATGGTAGAAGAGGGCACCTCT